ACTGGAAATACAAACTCAGAGGTCACAGTGTAGTCTGCTGTGTTCACATGTGACAAAAAGGTCCTGAGGTGGAACTCTGCAGTGGTCAAACAGAGCTGACCTCAGAGCGGTGAACAAACAAGACGTGACCAAACTGAAAATATGAGCCCTGAGCTCTGCCTTGGTCCACTAAAATGTCACATGATCATATTTTTTTATGACCTTCAGCTGCAGTTGTGGAGTCAAAACTGGATGAAACTCAAGCTGTGGTATTTTTTAAAATTCGGATCAGTGAGAGGAGGATCAGAGGCTGACACCGCTGCTCATATGTCTTTATCAGGTCATCACGACTTTATACGTGTTCAGCTGAAAATCATCACTGCACCTTATCCGGGTTTTATTTTGAAAGGCTCTGCTGTGTTCTCTCCATCTACATCAGGGATGCTCCTGCAGCCTCGAGGATGTGTAGAGTCTCATAAAAAAAACAGACTGAGGATGAAGGCCTATGATTGAAACCTCCTCCTCGAAGGTTTCCTGCTGGTGAACTTTGAAATCAGTTTCCTGCATCGGTCTCCTCAACCACGAGCTCAGCTTCCTTCTCTTCAGTCCCTGTGTGCTCAAACATAAACCTCACACCTCGGTTTGATTCAAGGTCCCATCACAGGCTGAAAAAGCTTGATCAAACTTGATGGAACAAAGTGTTTAATGTTCACCATACACGCACACACTCACGCACACTCACACACGCACAATCATGGTACACAACAGTAATTAAGTAACAGATAAAGTGACAGAAAAGTTCCTGATTTTTTGCAATCTGCTATAGAAATTTCTTTTTTTATCGTGATGGGTTCCCAGAACAAACATTTTCTGTAAATGAAAGAAAACTTCCTGTTACAGGGCAGTGCTATCAAAACCTGAAGCAACATTTCTTTGTTATGTAGAGAAACTGAAATGTGCCGCTGGAGTTGTACTTCTTTATCTTATATTCAGATGACTCAGGGATTAAATGTGCAGTTAAACATCTTTACGCTGACAGGAAGGCCAGTTTCACCGGTCTGACCCACCCCCACGTACGAGGCCCAGGATGTGAAAGAGTTTAACATCCCTGATCGAAAGTGTAAGAGAATAGAGGAATAAAATGACACAAATCACAAGGAGTAAAACAACACAGCCACACACACACGAACAGACAGAAGAGTTTTCACAGTCGTTGGTTCAGATCGCTGCGTGTTGGCCTGTGTTAACCCTTCACCTGCCACTTCACTTTTTCCTCTTACCAACTCTTCATCCTCACACAGACTCACCTCGCTCTCTTCTGCTGGCCTACAGTCGGCCGATGTCTCTCGACCTTGCTGCTGATTTCATCCTCATGTCATCACACATTCATGTTTTTGTGTTTCAGCCTTGATCTGTTGTTCTGCTTTGTCCCCAGAGAACAGAGCGCCCTGTCACTGAGTGTGTGTGTGTGTGTGTGTGTGTGTGTGAGAGAGAGAGAGAGAGAGAGAGAGAGAGCATTAGAGGCTTACCCGGCATTAATAAGCAGGATAAGTAGGCCAACATGCTGCAGGACTTTGAAGCAGCAGGATCCTGTTGGTTCCACCTGCTGCTGCTTTCAGAGCTTATTTCAAACACACAGAAGTAAAACATCCACATCCTCGGAGACGCTGTTTTTAGTCAGTATTTCCTGTCAGAGAGCCAATAAGCTCTCAGCCTGACTCCTTTAATATAAACCAAAGTTTTGTGTGTAGAAGAAGAAAATGTTTAATTAATGTGGTGTTACAGGAGGCTCTGAGTGGGGTGGGTACACAGACAAACACAGAGCCATAAATGAACACGTCCTGTTTCACAGGTCACATGACTGAACATGTCACATGACTATGAGTAACTGTCGCTGCCATCTGCAAGGATTCTAATCTTGGGTAGAGGTAACACCTTGTCACATGTCAGAAGTTCTTTTGTCTCATTGGTTGTGGCTGCTGTCACGTGTACAGTTTTCCTGACTGACGTTCATGAACATTCAGTTTCCTGTTCGTCATATCTGTCCAGGTTCTGGTAGTGTTGAAAGCCTGAAAAGGAGGCAATTTTTCTTCCTTTTCGTCTGGTGCCGTGTTTGATCCATTCGCTTCCACATCTGGAAAGTCTAAAAGAGCTGTGATTCTTGCATTCAAGCCCTTTATTTTGGCAGGAATGAAGTCGGCTAGCTCAGGTGTGGGGATACTCTTAATGGACTTAATGAAACAGTCGCTAATGAGCATGCTCTTTGAATGGAGGCGAGCATGCTCTCATTAGTCAAATGACAGCAGTTTTATCGGGGAACCTGGATCAGGACTCTGAGGTCCACCCT